GGGCCCCCCCGCCCCCCGGCGGCGGCCCCCCCCCCCCCGGCCTGGGGACCCTGCCGTTGCGGGGGGAGCTGGGCTCGGCCGCCCCCCTGGCCAGCGGGGTGCCCTGTTGGGACCCGCAGCTCCCCTCCCTGAGGCACAAGCGACGTTCCCGCCGCGGGGCAGCCGGCTGCAGCGGCCGCCCCCTCTGGCCGCCGGCCCAAAACAGGGACCCAAGCTGAGGGGTTTGTGCTGGGACATGGCAGATCTCGGCAGTGATGAACTGGCACAACAGCCCAGCTCGATGCAGAGGACTGGCAACAGGGAGAAAGTGCAGTAATCCAAAACCAGAACGAGTGTATGGGGGAGAAATGAGACGGAGCACGAACAACTAGGTATTGACGCAAACCTGTTCTTGCAAGTGCTCTGTATCTTTCCAATCAATATAATAAGCCAGTTTATTGGAAGGCAACCCCACCCTATTCACAGCTTTTCCCTGTTAACAACTTAGAGTACTGCTGGTTTTGGAAAGATAAGTGTTCGCTCCGAGGCTGAGCTTGGTTTGGACATACCCACTGGCAATCAGGAGAGGTGTGGGTGTGTTGCAACTATCCCTGAAACAAATTCTTAAAGGAGTTTTCTCTTCCTGTGACTTCCATCATAGTAGCTGAGATCCATCAAGTGCTGCTCCTACAGGTATTTCCTCTGAGGTGCTCACATTCCTTCATTACCTCCTTCCCGCATTAACTTTTTGGCCTACGGACAAATTTCCCCTCCCCTTTCCCAGAATAAGCCCTTACAAGAGTGGGTGGCATTTATGAAGTTAGCCTCTAACTTAGCTGACTGGCCTTCGCTGAGGTTTGTCTATAGTTAATGGAAAGAGAGAGGTTCCTTCAGACATCAGGTGAAAGCACCTTAGGGTTTAGCTCTTTCATCTTCATCTGGTGGGGTCACTCTTGCTTCACTGAATGCAAGAATTTAAAGAGATGAGCAAGCTAACTCAGACTTGTACCTAAAGTTAGCAGTAAAACCACTTTCTTAGAGACCAGATCTGATCTCCAAACGCCTTTTAGAGACCAGATACTTGATTCCCTCATCTTCCTTCAGTGAAGTAAAACAGGGATTGTGTGGACTGAAATACCCATGCACCAATCAGTCCTACCAGCCAGTTTTGCTGTGGAAGCAGCAGGGTCATTTTGCCGGTGGGTTCCCTCCAGGAGATTTTTAGCTTTTTTTTAGGAGTTTTTTTAGAAGGTTTTCAGAACTCAGGGCAAATAAACCTTTTTTATTTTTCTGAAAGTTTGCTTTCAGCCTTTCCATCTCCCAGCCCAATTATTTCCATTGTTCCTCAATGCCGTAGAAACCAGAGCTCAACATGCAGGCTCCGGTGACGTGATCCTTGGTACTAAAGGGTGGGAAGGGCAGCGTGGTCTGCACTCTCTTGAAGCTAATGCTGGCTCGGGCGGCTGCAAGCTGCCATGAGGGCCATCCCCTTTCAGTCTGGCCGCGGTGAATGCGAACATTACTATGCTCAGTTATTTACCTCGTTCTGTGTTGGAGGTTGCTGCTTCTGCAGAGGGAAAGCAGACCTGTACCTTGGCTGCTGCATCCTGTAGACAATTTGAATTTAACACAAAAAAGAGTCTGCACAAGGATGCCAAAGTGGAAACTAGACTGTCTACAGTGTGGGCATGGTAGCAATTCCGGCAGAGGTGTATCACAAAGCTCAGGACAGCGATGTCGCAAAACACTGAAGCTGGACATGGGTCAAAGCCCTGGTATGTGCTGGGTCAAACCATTCTTTAAACCATCTGTTTTGTCCTAATTTTGTCCTAATCTAAAACTGGTTGGTCGGAAGTACAGAGCTGCCTGAGGTCTTTAAAGTTTTAAAGGAGCTTAAAACGAGCTGTCTTGGCTAGCAACTAATGTAACTTCCTGAGCTATCGTTCTCATTTATGCCATGACGAAGATCCCATAGGATAATACTTGTTTTTGCTAACTGCGTGCCAAACACCCAAACACCTTGCCAGGCTACGGCTAATATTAACAATCTCAAGTGAATCACATAGTTGAACAGCCACAGGAAAATGTGTGCAAGTCCTGCAATAAAGCCTTTTGGCTATTTTATTTTATTCTACAAATAAAGACAACTGTCCATCATTAAATGGAAAAAAATAATAGTTTGAGTTGTATATAGCATGAAACAGTAGTTCCCTTCACAAAAACATTTCTAATTCATTAGTTTATTACAAAATATCCACTCACAAAAAAGCACAAGCACGATCTTTATACTTGTGAAATGAGTTGATATTTCATATACAAAATAATTTCCACATAATTCCATATAATTTTATTTTATATAGAAATAGGTCATTATTACAACAGCTGTACAATACACTACTTTTTATTTAATAATTACATAAAATCTTTCTTAGAAACATATCAACAGAAAACATACAAAAAAAGCGAAAAGTGCATTTCTTTTTTTTCCCCCCAAAGGAAAATTCAATCCTAAATGTTATAATGAAAGAGATATGTAATAGTCTGCAGCATCCCGAGTCAGTGGGCCAAAACACAGTGCATATTTCGCAGAGACTTGCAGTGGGCGAGTTATTTAGGTTGAAGAAGGATCCTTGTTGTACTATTGGAGAGTTGCATGATTGTGCTTACAATTTGAGTTCTCCTTTGCAGTCACAATTCATATCGAAAACAGTCCAGTGTGGGTTGTGGGGTTTTTTTTGTTTGTTTTTTTTTAGTAATGAAGAACAGTTAGGGTAAGCTGCATAATACTTTTCAGATTCTAAATCAAGGGTTATGAGCTGTAGACCATCTTCACCAATGACTGGGCTTTCTCCTCCACTGGATGTGCTAATTTGGCCACAAGAATAAGGAAACAAACTTCTCTTTATAGAAAGTGCCTAGGTTTTGTCCTCTGTGCAGTTGTGCAAAATAATAACAATAATCATAATAAAAATAATCTCTTGTTCTCTCCTCAATAGACCTTTGACGCAGTGCTTTTCATACACAAAAGAAGAACTGAAACAGTGAAGGCCAGGTACCTCATGAGCCTGTCGACAGTCTTTTGGAATTGCCAGATAGCTTTCAGAGTGACATGCCGAGACTGAATGCCTCCTCCTGTGCACCCGTTGACGATGGAGGCTGCACAGGATAGTGTTCCTTTTGATTTTGCTCTGTCAGAACATACTGTGCTCACGAGACAGCGCAAACTGAATCCAGCATGCTGTAAACGC